ATACATTTACTTGCTGATTCCTTTCAATTATTTTTGACATTTCAGTGTCAGGAATATCTTCATGCAAAAAAACTTCGTTTCTTAGGTTTTATATTCTGTCTCCTTGAACGCTGTGGTACAAATAATGCCCATCATTTACCATGGCTGATTGCAGTTAAAGGTGTTTGAAGTCTGATGTCCCTTCTTGGTGGGGAAGGTGATACGTTAATAAAGCCATGGTCTTGTCTGTGTTGCTGATACCACTCTTGGAACTCCATCAGGTAGAGTGATGGAAAATCTGATAATTTTCTCTTTATAGGACCTCCCTCAAGGAGAGAGACTTGGCTTTCTGTTTGAGGTGGGAGGAAAAAAAGGGTGGGATATTTGTACAACAGGATGCTTGGTAGGACATGGGGTCATGAGATGGTTTTGGAGTGTTACACTAAGAACATTTGCCTGCCTGTATTTCTTCAGTACCATTGGCCTGTCAAGTGGATTCATGATTGTTGTGTGAAATATGATTAAACTGAGGACTTTTAAAATGCTGTTATTGCTCAGTATAAATTTTAACCATGACAGAATCTGAATTATAAGGTGTCTGTTTTATGGACATAGAAAATTACTGTCTCCTGGAATCACCATATGCAGGCATTTCTGCAGTGTTTGAGACTACTTTTATTTCTTCTAAAGAATCAGCTTGCATCTGACAGACTAACCGATTTTAACCATGATCTGTGTGTTGATCTCAGACTTGTGTTTAGACTGACTAAAAATGTCTCTTCGGGATCAAGTCTGAACACTTCTAATTTCATACATGGACTTCTGTAGGACTAATTATATAGTTACTGCTGTGCTTAGATGTTTTTTGGCTTAGGCTCTGCTAAAGCATTACTAGAAAAACTGGCTAAGAAAATCTGTGTGTATTACGAGTTAGGAGAGTAGATCTGAGTTTTTCAGGGTGGTTATTTTTGTTTCAAACTAGTTTCTAAATGAATTTTTGGAACTCTGAGCAAATAACCAGCACCAATATATTGAATTAGCATTTTTTAATGAAAAATGTTTTAACATTAGGATGAGGTTCAAGTGGAATTTGAAATATAAGGTCTAGTTGGGAAATTTACACAGGTAGTGCATGCGAAGTGTAATATAAAAATGATTTGACTGGATCAAATAAAAGGCCAGTCTGTTCTAGCAGCATGCCTCTGATAATGAATGCTTAGGGAAAAGTGCAAAAACAAGGCAAACATTATGTTAATGCTGTTTGACTACCTTACTGTGCACTTTGTAACCTGACAGCTTGAGCTTTTTGTTTTTCCTTTTGATCATGGCTTAAATTTGTAAAAGATACCTTCTTATGTCTGACATCTTCCCTTTTCCTAAAATTACTTTGTTTTTAACTTTCAGTGTATTGTCTTAATATTTGTCTTCCAGTCAGTAAAGACTTTACTCTTTCTGTTAAAAAGAAACTAGGCTGCAACCAACTTCTTCATATTTTTGTAGTTCCCCTTTTAAATTTAACCTTAGTAATAGTGTACTTCTCACTTCTATTGTTTCTGCGGAGGTAGTGAATTGAAACACCCTGTGATTCACGAGCAGGCATGGGTAGTGTCTTCTAGTTAGTCTTCACGTAACATCCCCAATTTAGAGTTTTCCAGTCTAAACTGGTTAAGCAAAGAATTCCTATAATATCATTTCTGGAGGAGGTGTTATCTTAAATCACCTATGGTTCTGTGTTAGCAGCTTTCCTTGCTGCTTCAGTCTATTAACCCATACTAAGCCAACCTCATTTTAAATACTTCCATTTGGATTGAGATGACGTCTGTCTTGTTTTAGAGAAACACTCCATTCCAGAAGTTTCCTCCTTTTATCTTACAGCATTTTCTCAGTCATACGTTGGGTTATCAGTCTTCAGATGTACCTAAATTCCATAAGCTTCATGTCTACATCTGTTATTTAGCATAATAGATGAACTCATCTTACAAATTTTTTTTTGTTCATTGTGAAAATATTTCTGGAGTAGAATTTATTTTTCAGTTTGGATAAAGAATTGCATTATTTATTTTTAAAAAGATGTAAATAAATTTGATATATAAATGTTGTGGTAAACTATCTACCCTTGAATCAGAAAGAACTTGCCCCCTGGGGTGGTTGTGGTACTGTTTTGCGATGAATGAATGAAAAAATTGCTTAAAAGAGCAAGTTATAATATCTTTCAACTTTTTATTTTATTATTAACTGATAATGGCTATAATTTCCATAGGATTTCTGGCTTCCATAATGGAAAAATGGAAACCTTACTTAACAGTTCTTAAGGCATTGTTTCCAGGGAAGTGTTTTGAACAGTAATATAAACCAATTTCACAGTATTTGTGTATTTTCTTCTGTTGTGAAATTGTATGTGTTTTGTACGAGGGTACACTAAGGGACTTGAGCCAGATTGTGCTGCTGTGATTTTTATCAGGCCAGGCTGGGAACCACAGCTGGTTTTATATTGCCTGTTGACTACTACACTCCCGGCCCACTCATTGTCCAGAGCAAACAGTTGGTGCACACTATAGTTATGGCCTGGCCCACCTCTGGGTTTTATTCCTGCAGAAGAAACGGCAGAGGTGTTTTTAATCTATGTCCAAGATGTGTGGTTGGGGTATGGCTGGGTGCACATACAGCAGCAGAATTTTCATGATGCTCTTGAATCTTCCAGTTCAGATACAACCTACTGCTCTTTGGATTGGTGGTAGTAGAGTGGGATTCTGTCATTTGTATTCTGTGGGTTAGATCTTGGTGCTAGCCTTCAGTTAGCTTTCCAACACCTGATAAAACAACACCAGGAAGAGCATTAGAGCTGATTTCTTCAGAATGGGATGGTAGCAAAGACTGTTGTTTATGTGGTAGAGGTGGTCGAACTGTGCTGGCAATAAAACTGTGTGCATCTTTTGTGCACATAGTTATTCCACTCTGCTGAGTATTAGAATGAGAGCCTTTGTTTAACCTAAAAAAGGTTTTGCAGAAAATTCCTTCATGTGAAAGCTGCCATTTTTCCTTAATGTTTTGAAAATTGATGTAGTGGAAAACAGAAAATGAACCTCATTATTGTGAAAACTTTCTCGAGCTAAGCTAATTTTTCTTAATAAGCTTTTTCATTTTAGTTGGGATGTTTAGTTTTAGTTAATTTTATTCCATTTTCATTAAGAATGCCTGTTCTGCAACCTAAATCCTTCTCTTTCTGCCTCTTGCAGCTAGAGTTTGCAGAATTCAGTGTCAGCAGTGGATGTCCTGATCTAGAGGAAAGCTCTGTGATACTTTAGCTTGAGAATGTTTCTTAGAAATGATGGAGTGACAGCCAGTTAGCTCGTGGATTTCACATATTCTAGACTTCAGGAAGCAAAGTTGGGTCTATTTCTAAAAATAATGCCAGTGGAAGGTGATGTTTCCTTGTAGCAGCCCATTTTATCTGATGGGCATCTGTTCCCACAGGACACTGTGGAATGTCTTCCCCACTGCTAGGCACACTGACTTGCATTCAGCCTGTTGTGTACCAGCATCACGTGGTGTTCTCTGCAAAGCTATTTTCTACCCATTTGTCCTCCGGCCCACACTCCTATGAGGAGTTGTTCTGCTGCAGGTGCCACTGTGGTTGGGGCATCTGCCAGTCGAAGTCGCTCTGGCTGGCATCCCATCCCTTCAGCATGTGAGTTGCCTCTTCAACTCCTCCAACTTGGTGTTGATCATGGTCTTCCCAAGGGAGCGTTCTATCCTGTTTTCCAGGTTGTTTATGAAGATGTTAAATGATGGTGATTCCAGTGTTAACCCTGAGAAATGCTGCTCATAGCTGGTTTGCCAGTTATACTTCAGGCTGTTGAGCTCTTGCCTTTGAGCCTGACAGTGACTTTGAGCCACTTTTCTGTCTAGTGTAGGACAAACTATATGTTTGCTTCAATGATGACATGAGGAGAGCTAAGCAGAAACACAGTTACTTCATGCAAGTGTTAAAAACTGAGAACTAAGGCCTGAAATAGCAAGGGGTCTGTGTTGCTTCTTTGTTAAAAGAGTTTGTTCAGCGTTTCTGAGAAACCACATCCTTTTGAAATATCTTGGGTTGGGAACCAGAGTTACTTTCAAAAAATAGACAGTCGTTCTCAAGTAAATGTCTTTCTTCCACGATAGTTTCATGGACTTTTTATGACACAGGTTTTGGTAGTTAACTGATAATTTCCAGGATTCTTGTGTCACCTTTTCATACAGTCAGAGACAGTATGCATTTTTGTACTGCACTGGTTTTTCAGATTTTCTGCATGCAGATTTGCATAATGCAGTCATGCGTTGTCAAAATAACTCTAGTTCAAGTACTGTGTTTCCCTTGTCAAAGGCATCTCCTCTTTCTGCTTGTAGGCTAGGCTAAATTGCATCCGTATTTTTATATAATGCATTTGGTATTGGTTTTCGTGACTTTATTATCTTTAGCTAGGTTATAAATGGAGAATGTCTTGGTTACTGTGCTTGCAATAAAGAATATTTTTTAGATGGGAGTTGTACTTCTTTAGCAAAATAAATATGCAAGGTTTTTTGCAAACTTGGCTTTAGCATTGCAGGTATTTTCTACAATGAAATTAGATTCTAATGTAGCTGTCAAACAGGAAAAGTAATGTTTACTGGGTTTGTACATTGACTTACTGTTGTGCTTAGAATTAGGGGGGCAAGGCCCAAAGTTTCATGGAACAAAGGCAGATAGATGAGGGGTAATCATAGTTGATATGACACCAGGTACATTTTAATTGGTCTTAATTATGTAATGGGTAATATATTTGTGAAGTTATAATTGCATATCAAACAATCTTTTAGTATTTAGGATCTTTTTTGTGTATTAATTATATACAGTAGCATCTGTTAAAACTGAACTGTTTTACTCTTCTGCAACACCTTAATTTTTGGAGCATGACAAGAATAACAGTGGGTACTTTTATCTCCTCTTACTGCAGGGAAATTTTTGACTGAAAAGGATTTTTTTTTTTTTTTTCTTCTAGATCTTTCAAAGAACAGATTTACTGAAATTCCTCCTGATGTCTGGCTGTTTGCACCACTGGAAACTTTAAATTTGTATCACAACTGCATCAAATCCATTCCAGAATCTATTAAAAACCTGCAAATGCTTACCTACCTTAACATTAGGTGAGTAATGCTTGTTACTTTTGGCTTTTATATAACTTACCTCATTGGAGAGGTAGCATTCTACTTCATCTGCTCTTGTGACCTCATTTTTGCACAAACAGAATTATTCTGTTGTTTGGGTATCCTGGTGTTTTATGGCCAGCAGTTGTTGCTGCTTTTGTGGGAAGAAATTGACTGCATTATGAAATTTCGGTAAGTAAACTGTGGTAGCTGAGGATAAGGAGAGTTTACAAAGTCTTCTTTGTTTTTCATGTTATGCAGACGGGCAATGTTTTGAAACTACTCCTGTTAAAATTTGCATCTCTCAAGAAGGTAGATTACTCTGTGCAGAAGGCCCTACTCACTTTGCACATTATTTATATCCATTGCCATATTGCTACTCTTAAACTTGGAAAACATATGGTTGGATCTTCCCAGAAGAACACAAAATGATTCTCTCTCCATCCAGAGCTCATACTCTAGAAGCACTCTCCCATAAAGAGCCAAGACCTGGATTTCCACCGTACTCCTTGTTTCTTCTGTTGACTGTAAAGTCTAAACCAGTCTTTTAGGTTAAGAGCTATTTAATGCGTGAGATTTGGTTCCAGAATTTATTTTGGAAAAACCTTCTGAATTGATCCTTGGAAAAGCAAAACGTAAAAAACAAAACCACTGTAAAAAAACATAAAACCACTTGTGTCTCGACATTTTCAAATATCAGTACTAGTGGTAACTTGAGAGTAGTCTGTTCTGTGACAGTTCTGAAGAGGATTAATGATATGATAAAGCGCAGAGTTTGAAAGAAATTTGACGTAACTTTCTTCACAGAGCAGCACCAGCCCATTTCTCTTTTGATGGTAATTGAGGTGTTGAATACACTTCTTTACACAGAAATAGAGTAGGTGTAGTTCTAACTGGGCATTGCATGATGATAATTCTTCTCATTTGCCTTACTGTGCTTTGGCTTCAATTTTGTGCTAATGTCTGAGAACTGTTTTCAGTGTCTGTGAACACGTGGACTACAGGATTGAAGAACAGGCTAAAATCCTGGGTTGCTTGTTTCAGTATTCTGTTACAGAAGAAAAACCTCCACATGACCTCACATTCTAATTTTGGGTTCAGACAACTGAAGCAACGTATTTTGCAATTCTTAGGAAATTGGACAGCTTATTTAAAAAAAACCATAAAAATTACCAACCCCAAAACCAAAGGAAATTTGTGATGCGGAGGATGACTGTTTCATTGCCATATTTTTATAATCAATTAAAAAAGTTTACTTGCACTTTATATTTTTGCTTGTCATGCCCTCCAACTAAAAAAGCCTGTCATACCTGCCCAAAATGCAACCTAAGAGACTCACTACATAGCTACACCCAAAACTTATTTGCATTGTTGGCTTAAAAGATACTGATAGAAGTTTACTTTCATTTTATGATGGTAAAACTTCGTTGAACCTGAAAAGCTGCAAGGACACCAATTTACTCTTGTTGGTTTTGCAGCCCTATAAACTGTAGTCTTGGGGAAAAATAATGTAAAATGCTTTGTTTTTTAAAAAATATGAAAACACTGCTCTGATATTATATGAGTAAAACTTCTGGGTTTTTCTTAATAGAGTGTGAACTTAAATATCAACACTCAGAAGGCTTTTTTTGTCAAAATAGAACTTCTGGCCTCTACTCAGTTCAACTTAAAACAAGAGCAGTTACTGAAGTTTTTTTTACTTCTATGTGTGAAAAGAAATGCTTTTGTACCACATCTGAACAAGCTGGTTTGGCAACGGCTTTTTGAAATGTAGAAGTACCATATTAGAAAAGTTCTATGTATTTCTGGCAGTGGCAGTCTGCAGTTGGTAGTTTTTCTTTCTGGATTTAAATCAAATTGTCAGTAACTGTGTGTTTTGTGTGTACAAAACAGACATACGTGCATGCAGTTGGAAAATGATATACAGAAAAGAAATCAGTTGTAATTAAAATGTGTCTGCCAGACTATTGCTCAGCAAAGCAATAAATAGACGTTAAGGGATTTTCCTGATGGCTCAGGAGTGGCATGAGCACGTGACATGAGAAACATTGGCCTCATATACAGTTCTGGTTTGCTGAGAATATGGACTTTATATAGGTCAGCTGTCAGAGCAGGTGGTCGTTCTAAAGGTGGCAGAAAGCAGAATAAAAGCAAATATTAAACATTATCTAAGTTTTCTCTGTACATTTTAGTGTTAGTAGCAGTTATAGTACGTATTCATTCCATCAAGTGAGATGGGGACTTAAATACATATCTTAGAGGCTTTATCTGGTAAGGAATTAGTGATGGAGCTTGTAGCTTAAGTTTAGATTAAATCGTTGTAGGTGGAGAATATCTTCTGGAGTAGGAGAAAAGTTGTGCAATGTGCATCTACTACTCCCTGTCAGGCTTAAAAAGAAGATTATAATCTAGCCTTGCCTCTTCATTTTTCTTTTTTTCAAGTCGAAATCTTTTATCAACGTTGCCAAAATACCTGTTTGATCTTCCACTTAAAGTTCTGGTTGTCAGTAATAATAAGCTCGTCTCCATTCCAGAAGAAATTGGAAAGTTGAGAGATCTAATGGAGCTGGTAAGTACAATTGTGAACCATTTTACTAAGTAAACTTCAACTGTAAGAAGAATATAAATTAATAATTTTTAAAATATAGAGCTGCAAAATGTAAATTCAGTTACTGCTTTTTCTTAGGGTTTGAGCTCAAATTAGAGGTGTAATATATTGTAGAGCGTAAAAAAAACAGGATTAAACACAAATCAGTATGTTGGGTCAATTAAAGCTTAAAGCATTCATAAATCACTCTTCAGATTATTTCATTTATGTCCCTTGCTTGTATGTTGTTAAAATTTGTGAATTTTTCTGTTTACCTTCCTTACATTAATCATAATTCTATTAATTTTTATTATGTTAAAGGGAATCTTCTTTCCAGCTGAAGAATTCATCTCTATTTACTGCGTACTCTTAGACAAGCTATTCATTGTTGTCTTGTTCTTTGTATTTTTTGGGGGGCTTTTTTTGCTTGTTTTTGTCTTTTCCTATGTTGCTATTCCTTTATTTGATCAGGGTGGAATGATGTGAGATATTCACACTTTACTATGCCATAAAATAAAATCATATTGCATGGACACAAAGTTTTGTGCTTTGTCACCCATTACTTTCTCTATATTTCTTAATATTCTGGGCTTTTCTGATCATTACTCTCTGTTAAGCTCATGTGTTTTGGAGAACTGTGCACAATTGTTCACCAACCTGGCACTTGGACTAGGTGTGAATTTTTTTTCCAGTATGTATTTCTTTGGTCATTGCAAGCAATCCTTATCCTGTGTTTCCAGAGTAGCTGTGTATACCCTGAAGATTTCTTTTAACATGACCTAATTTTTGAGCTGTAAATCAATGTTATTTTTTTAGTTTACAATTAATATGAGATATTCTGAATGTGTTTGAGACTTTTCTAGTGTTCTCTACTCTTTGGTGAGAAATTCTTTATGCTCACTTCAGTGTTACAGGTTTTGAAGGTGGGACCACTGCTAATGTTTACAGAAAATGAATGTTTTTCAGAATTGCAGTTGTGATAGTTTTGACTTATTTTTCAGAATAGAAAAAACTGGAATGTGTGCTTGATGACAGAGATTAGGGGCATACTAGAGTGTTTCATTCCAGCACCTGTGTTATAGCTGTTTAGAACTTTATATATATACACATTTAAAAAAAAAAAAAAGTTGACAACTAAGCCATGTGCTGGAAAGATGCTTGAAGGCAGGGAATTTTTTCTTAAACTTGGTGACATGAACAGAAAAGAACTTGCAGTAGGTACACATAAGAGTTGATCCCAAACAACCTGTGCTTTCTGAGACATCCAGCTGTGTGCAGACGATGTGGTTGCCAAAGTAGATGAGCAGCATCTAAGCTGAAACTCTGGAAGCGACTAGTGGAGGAGGCTGGATTTGTCTGGTTAAGGCCTGGCTTCTGGTTACTGACAGCTTACCTTTTGCGCTGGTTTTGGCTAGGATAGAGGTAATTTTCTTCATAGTAGCTAGTGTAAGGCTATGTTCTGGATCTGTGCTGAGAATGATGTGGCTAATACTTATGTTTTAGTTGTTGCCAATCAGTGTTTACATTAAGCTAAGGACTTTTCAGCTTCTGATACAGCACCTGTTTGCCCAGCTGCTTCTTCCCTTTGCAGCCAGGACAGCTGACCCAAACTGACCAAAGGGATATTTCATGTCATAAGAAATATCTCCTGCTGCTCAGACAGTGGCAGGGTGTCAGTTGGCAGGTGATGAGTAGTTGTATCACTTTGTTGTTTTTGTTGTTTTCCTTTTCATTAAATATTACCATTATCAGTATTGTTGCAGCTTTGTCACCCTCTAGTGCTCATATCCAAAAAGCTGATGAGCCTGCTATTGCTCTTTCTAAATTTTCAGTTGCACTGATTGGCTCAAGTTTTTTTAAGGAAGAAGAATTTTTATGAAAGGAGCAGAATGCGAATCATTTGCCAGTAGTAGCACAAGAAGTTTTTAACTGATATGGGAATTGCCCCAAGAACACCTGATCCCTCAGCTACAGTTTTAATCTCAAAACCCATTTTTCATCATTCATTGGTATAACTTCTTGAATTAAGTTTCTGAAACATGAATCACTAAATACTGGAGAAACAGCAAGATCTGTCATGGTACTACTTCCCTTTGTGGAAAAAACAAGATAGATAGGATTTTTTTTTTCCAATAGTATGCTTTATAGTAGTTTGATAGCAGTTTTTGTTCATTTAATTTCATTTAGGATGTTCAGTTAACTTCTCATTATGTCTTTCTCAGGATATTAGCTGCAATGAACTTCAGGTTCTTCCCCAGCAGATAGGAAAATTGCAATCACTTAGAGAATTAAACATAAGAAGAAACAATCTCCATATGTTGCCAGATGGTAAGCTACTTGTCTTAATTTCTTTGATGCAGGTAAATTAAGTAAAGCGTTAAGAAGTTATTGATGCTTTTTTTTGTTACCTCCAATACAGAATTAGGAGACCTTCCCTTGGTAAAGCTGGATTTTTCTTGTAATAAAATTACAGAAATTCCGATTTGTTACAGAAAGTTACGTCACTTACAAGTTATAGTTTTGGATAACAATCCAATGCAGATACCACCAGCACAGGTTAGTACCAAAGCATTCTAGTTCAATAATTTGTGTTAGGGTCTTCATAAAGAGGAAGCTGTTCTAAATTATACCAATCAGGTTTTCATTTTTTTTAGCTGTATGTCTCTTAGTGGGAAGTTGTGAGTACTAAGTAAGTGTAGAAATTATTTGCTGGGGTGTGTTTTCAAAAGACATGCTGTGTAATTTGGATTCATTCTTTTTTTGTTCATTTGTTTCCCAACAGATATGTTTAAAGGGTAAAGTACATATATTTAAATTCCTCAGCATTCAGGCATGCCTCAGAATAGATAAAAAACCAGATTCTTTGGACCTTCCGTCATTAGGTAAACGAATCCCCTCCCAGCCACTCACAGACAGGTGAGCAGTGCATTTTTTTTTTATTTCACTTTACCATTTGCTACAAAGTGATCTGTTTATTACAGATAATAGCTGTAATTTCAGTACTTTAATTATGTAAAGTCATAGTATTTATTTTCTAAGGTCGCATTACTGGAAGCTTAGTTGACTCATCTGAGTTGCTAGAAAAATTTTCATTGTACTCACTAAAGATTTGGAAATCAGAACAAAGATGTATTCTAAATTTACTTATTGGAAGACTCAACTACTTATTTCTGAAACAGATATGTCAAAACAATAGATGAGACATTCTGATAAATGTCTTGGATATTAAGTTAATTCTGTTGGATGGAAAGTCTGCCTCCCACGTATATATTAAGGGAAACAAACATCAGTGTAATACCATGGGTTTCTTATTAGATTACTCAAGGTCAAAAAGTGCAGAATATTTGGTTGGACTTCTGTACTGAGTACCTATTGAGTAATTAAATGGAATGCTTTTGTATTTTCTGTCATCAGTTGGCTTCTCATTGGAAACCACATGAAGAATACTTATTTTGCCTATTTTCTTAAAATCTCATGTGCATCTTGTGCCTCTCTGTGTCTAAGGCTGAAGATGAAAGCTCTGAATAAAGCTTACAAAGAACCATCTGAACCATCATATTCAGTCCATGGACTTGGTCTCGGGCAAGTGGGCCACGGGGAATTAGCCCAGAGTGTCTGTAGATTGCTTCTAAATGGTCCTAAAAACTGTGATGCACAACTGCTCCCCAAAAGCAGTTAAGTCCATGGACTTAAGGCCTGCAACTAAAATGCCTTGCAGGGGAACAAGGTCATGGCTATTACCACTATGCATCGTATTTGTAGTAGTGAGAACTTGTTTAATTAAACCTTCCAGATAATCTTATGGTGTAAACCAAGCTCCAGTGCACAGTTAGAAAGCACATCCTGCTGATGCTGCCCATTTTATGCCTTCAGAAGGCATAAATTTGGAGAAAATATTCTGTAGATGTTCAGGCAGAGTTAAACCATTATAATATGACAGTCTGTTAGGGAATATATATTTGCTACTAGTAGAAAACCATGTCTGCCAATAGAATTCAAGGAGCTACATTTCTTCAGAGGAAGCCTTCTTTCCTGACGAGAGTATTTTTGAATGAAATAGAACAATTCTAAAAGTGCATAGATACAGAGAGCAACATAATAGGTTGTTTCCACTTCAACTTTGCTTTGTTATTTTTTCCATTGACACCTCTTCTATGAGATGAAGAATTTGTTCTCTGCACATGGGGCATTGTGCAAAATCTCTATCAGCAACTGTAGATGATTATAAAGAACATACTTTTTTAGAAGGATGTTTGTTTTCTTTTAGAAAAGTGAAACTACTTTTTTCTTATTCATTCCTGTGTGGCTTTTGGTGTGTTGTATTTCTTAATATAGCATTGAAGACTTTTATCCCAATAAAAATCATGGACCAGACTCTGGCATTGGAAGTGATAATGGGGATAAAAGGTTGTCCACAACAGAAGTGAGTATTTTTCACTGTTGAATTTATGTAATATCTGTTTTTTAGAAATTTTCCATTGTATTTTGTATCATTTGAGAAATACTTAGTTAAGTTGCATTTACCATTCTTTGAATATCTGTATAGTTGAGTTTAAACCATTAGACTGCCACTGCCAGACACAAATTATTTACATATTTCTTTGACTTTTCTGGTTAAGGTTCACTCCAGTCCAAATTTCATACACTTTAAAACTGAATTCTGAGTAAGGAATTGTTTATGTCGTTTAATGTGTGAAGTGTATAATCATTTTTGACACAAAGGACAAAATTTATTTGAAACTTTCTTTCGTTATTAACAAAATGAATGTACTTAAGAAAATGAAAGTTTATTTGGGCTAAGCTTGGGTGTTGTGTATGTTAGTAATCCTCATTGTTTAAATTTAATAAACTTCTGGATGATCTGCTAGGTTTAAAGTGATGAACAAAAGTCCCCACAAGTTTTCTATTTGTAGAAATACAGATTAAGGAGCTGTAGTTAATAACGATGATGTCAAAGCTGAATAGTAGAAGAAAAAGACTTTTGAAACGTAAAAAGAGAATTATTACAAATGCAGAATGATTGTTAGTAGGAAAAGTGTAGCACAAGGAGGGTTTTTTTTTTTTTAAGAAACTCCAAATGAGAGAAAGGTGTGATTTTTTTTTTCCCTTTTTTTCCCCCCCCCCCCCCCCGCAGTTGGAACAAGGATCAATGTGGTGGGGTGTTTTAGATAAGGAAGTACCTAGGTACAGTCCCTTCTAGTCCACTGACCAGGGCTGGGCTAGACCCCTTTAAACAAAATACTGTATTTAAGTATTGTATTAGATACTGAACAGTTGTCTGTCACTCCCTAAACTATGATTCTCTTAAACCTTGTTCCTCCCAGCCAAAAAAATCCCCCCCACAAAAAACCCCACCTGACAATGTTATTCTCTCTGTCCTGGGAGCCATCCCTCAGGACAGGGTCAGTTGCACTATAATTTCTGAGTTCTTAGCAAAATATGTAATTTTTATTTAAGCTCTGTGTTAAATGTGATTGTCTTTGCAGCCATCTGATGATGATACAATCAGCCTTCACTCCCAAGTATCAGAATCAACAAGGGAACAGACATTAAGGAATGACAATCATACAACGGGAAGTAAACTCGATCCACAGAAAGGTAATATCTGTTGTGCATCTGTCATTTTAGGTAATAAATACTTTTGCTTAGGTAATCTAATAGAAGAAAATTGCACAAAATGTTATGATCACGTGTTGGCATTGTATTTTCATAATTTCAGAAAACAATGTAACAGTCGCAAATAGACAAGGAGAGAAAGAAAGAAAGAAGATTACTTCTAGCTCAAGAAGACATGATTTCATTGTTTTGTCTTTATCTGACATTTTTCATAAGTACTTCTCTCTCTCAGGAATAACATTTGGTTGAGAGAAGTGTTTAACATCATCTTTTCTATTCTTCACCAATCCTCACTAGACCAGGAGGTGTATGATTACATTGATCCGAATGCTGAAGACGGAGCTGTTCCTGAGCAAGGGGATGTGCAGATTGGACCATTGCTCTCTTATATCAAGGTAGAAGCCTGACAAAAAAACCTGTTCAGAAGGCTTGGTTGTTTCTGAATTCAAGACTAAGTTTATTTTTCATGCTGTGTAAGGAACGGGGAAAACATCCTGAGAAATCCCAGAAAATAGAACAGAATGAAGACTGGGGAGATGAAAAAAGGTAAATCATCTTGGTCTTTTTGGGGAAGTTTTTACTGACTGTGGGGCATGAGGGTGGCTTTGTTTTAAGCTCGTTGAATGTGGAGCTAAGAAATGTTATGTTGAACACAGAGTACTCCTTCTTGGGCAGAAAATAAGCCTATAGGAAGAAGCGTTTCTTAGTTATTGTCCAATAATTTATTTATTTCTGTGTCTTGCCTGAATTCAGTGATGTTCAATCTTTCAGACTTCAGAAAGAACAGTTGCTGGCTGAAGATGATGATGAGCTCAAAGAAGTGACTGACTTGAGAAAAATAGCAGCTCAGCTACTGCAGCAAGAACAAAAACACAGGTATTAAATATTAGTTAAGATAACTTGTGTTACAAGTAATTTATTCTTAACCTGCCTTGTACTCAAAAGCTCTTGGCACCTTATTTTGAGAACGTTTTTATCCAGTTCTTAAACAGCTAGTGACAGACCCTTTCAAGATACCTGTCCTGTGTTGCATAAAATTGCTGCCTAGAGCATCAGTGATATGCCTGCTATGGAGAGGAAGAGGTGAATGTGAAAGTCCCTTGATTTCCTGGTTTGATGTATGTTAACTTTTTTTCCAAAGCAGTATGCATAAATAGGCATGGTTAATGATCATATATGTAGATTATTGGTCACATGTTAAAATGACTTTGCCTTAGTTAGCATGAGTTACAGAATTTTTATTCAAATATGAGGTAATTTAGGTGGTACTTCCTCCATTCAGTCTCATGCGAGATACAAATTTCCTCTGGACTGAAGGGGAAATTCATTCAGACATTATTATGTCAAATGGCAGAGCATATATATATTATAAATACATATAAAAGTAAGTAAGTTGAACAGTGTAAGCGCATCCTGATGAACTGCCTGACTTTCTCCATGTTGGGCATCACAACAGAAGGATTCTAGAAAAGCAGCCGTAGAACAAGCAACAGATTAAAGGAATGTAATAGAACAGGGAAACAACTGTGTAAAAGGGAGAGCAGGAAGGGATACCTGCAGTTGCGTGGTGTGTGGACAGCCTAGGATAGGAACCATGTTCTTCTCTCTGGTTCCTTTACCAAGCAGGCAATAATCAGTGGGGTACTTGGATGAGAGTAAGCTCCTTCCTGAAAGGTGAAAGTTGTAGGTAATAGTCGTTCATTAACTGAAATAGTTCATTAGTCATTCATTATCCCACAGTAATGGATTGAACTTCCTACTCCTTAAGTACTGTTTTTATTTGTTTTGAATTTGTGTGATGATGACATTCTGCACTCCTGTTTTAAGGTAGTTGAAATACATGTGAACCCTGTAGAGAAATTGATACCCTGATACTATGAGTTGCAGAGCTTTTAAATTTCACCAGCATTTTATATTAAATATAATAGCAGTAATGTGTGTGTGGGGAAAAAGATAAAATAGGTTTTACTTACAACTCCATGCAGTGTATTTAAGAATTGGTTGTTCACATTGGGAAGGGAAAACGAAGAATGAAATCTTAATGCTAATACATTCTAATTACCAAAAGTATTGCAGAAGAGTCTGAGAATGCTCATTTTTCTCATATTACTTTATTAAGAAGTGTGTTTTTCTTAGGTTTTTATATGATGGTTATTTATATTGCATGTGGGTCTTGAATATTTCCTGGTTATCTAATAATTTGAAATACCAAGCCACTCCTCTTCTGAAGTGCTGCAACTTAAATTTTACTCCTCATATGTTACTGTATCTTAATGCAGCGATCTTGCTAATGGTTCTGCTTTGCTCTTGAATTGTTCAGACACATGCAGTCTTATTAGATGTTAACTTCTGCTTCTCAGTTTAGCATTTATACTTTAAAACTTGCTTATGTATTATGTATCTTCAGGTACCTGAGGCAAAATCACCTCTGAGATAAAATTTAGTCCTGAATCCATAGTTTTGTGAATTTATGATTTTTTTTGCCATAAACAGCAGCAAAAATAATATTAAAAGTTTAGTGAAGATATTTGTGTTTATTTTGTGAAAAATATGTTTAAAAGTTTAGTGAAGATATTTCTGTGTTTATTTTGTGAAAAATATGTTCAATCTTGTTAAACAGAATCCTCATAAAAGTGAGCATTGCAAAATTTATTTCTTACTAATCGTATTTCTGTTCGTTCAGTGTGGTTTTTTTTAAATGTTATGCAGTCTCTTTTCTTTTTGCTTGCTATGCTAATGACTTGCCTGTCCTCTCCCATCAACCTATCCTGCTTCCTTCTTCCGTCTTTGGCTTTGGTGTACATGAAATATGAATACAGACGAAGGCCATTAAGCTATAGAACTTCATTCAGTGAAAAACTCTTCCAGAGGACAAGGGCGGCAGGACGTGCATCAAGGTATAAAGTGTTTGTAGAGCTTCAGATTTCCAAAGTTAAAATGTGGACAAAAGAAATGGTTTTAGCCGTTTCTTGAACAAAAAATGCATAAATAGATTGGCTAAGATAGCCTAAGATACTTTATTATGAAAAATAGATTGCAACTCTCCAAGGAACATTTAAATGAGTCCAAACCTAGAAGCATGATTTCCTGTACCTTTTGGTATGCTTTATCTCCCTTCAGTTTGAGGGTTTTTTTTTGGGTTCTTTTTTTTTTAAATATATAGTGACTCAAGTGTAGAACCTCATGGAAAAGGATATTTAATTTTATTTAAGGTATTTTGGTTTTAAAGTGATCACTTTCAAATTAGCATGACCAGTGACTATTTGTTTTGCTTTTAACAGCCATGAGGGGAGCAGTTGCAGTATGCAAACCTTACGGGTAACAAGAAACCTGGGATTGGGTTGTGTAAACTACGCTCTGACTTGTAGGTGATGAAACAAGAGATTTCAGACTTCGTTACCTTATCAGTTGAAACTCTGAATACTGCTGGTCTGTTTCAAAAGAAAGTAGGATAGTTTGGATTAAATAATCCTCATTAGTACCAAATGAGCCTGTTTCACTTTGATGCAAAGTTAAATATAGGTTCTTACCTGAGAGCATTGACTTCCTAAAACTGTATGAATCCCTAAGAGCACAGCTTACGATCACAGTGTAGAGCCATATGTGGAAACAGTAGACTGCTCCTGAATGAGGTTAAAAACCGATCTCTCTTTTTTTTTTGTGTGTCACTATAAAAGTTTTTATACGCTTTGCAGATCCTAGGTAGTGCTTGCCTGTTTAAACTTGAAGATAGGTAACCTTAAAATAGCATTAACATCATTCACTTAATTTGTGTCTTGATGTTATGTTTGCTCAGACTGTGAAAGTGTGACTGAGAAGAGATTCCACTCTTTAAATTCTCAAACTTTAGAAAATATTTTTCAATATCATGATTGGTCTTGCCATCGCCTTTCTCACCCATCTAGTCAGCAGTTTGGAGTAGATGTTCTGCTTGTGTGATAATAAGACTAGAAAAATGAGTCTCAGTGTTGTTTTGAGTTCAATATAGGCAAATGTGTCACTGTGTATGTGCGGTTGCATAATTTACATTTCAAAGTTTGTGTGAGTTTCAGAGCCCTTTCAGTGTAATAGTCTGTATGCTGCCTCTAACAACAGAGTTCGTGTGTTTAGTAGGAGCCATCATTGCAATACTAACACGCAGGTGGCTTATGCAAGTTCTTATTAATGATTCAGTATGATCATCAGTAAGCCATTGGCCTGATAATTGGTCTGTCTAATAAAAAACAGGTTTTGGGTTTAATGAGTTGTAGAATGAGTAGAAACAGTTGCTTGAATCTTTGCACCATTAACACCACACTTAAGAGCATGACTTCTGAATGTGAGCGACTTGTACTTTCGTTTTGCATACGCAATTTTGCATTGTATTTCCTGGAAGACAATTCTTAACACCACTACAGTTTCTTTTTCTTCCGTCTGAACGAATTATTTTGCCATGAATTCCTTAGGCTGAAATTTCATAAATTCAGATTAATTTTCTTTAACTAAAAACTTTCTAATTCCGTATTCCACAGGAAACCCCGATTTCTCTGACTGGTCTAGTAACCTGAGAGATACTGAACTTGCTGTTACTTCCCCATCAGTATTGTTCAGTTTTTAAACAGGAAGTTTCCAGAAAGATTTTGTGTTTATATACTTTTTTAATAATAAACCTCGTTTATAATAAACTCAAACATCAATTATATGTTTCACAGAAACAGCGCAGCTGAATAGTGTGTGCTTATGTGTGTTTGAATTAGTTTGAATAGTTTTTTCTTATATTTCCTATAATGAGTATTAAAAAATGGTGTGTGTTACATACAATCGTTGAATTTGCACCGATAGTGTCATTTTTGGTGCAAGTGTTGCATCAGACTGTTTAGGTGACTCAAATTTCTGTATGTTTTTTTAATCTCATTCTGTTGTAATGGTCACACCTTGCTACGAAGTCTCTCTGAATTTGCCATTGCTTTCAGGTGAAGACATCAGGATATTCTAAATGGGAATTCTCTAAAAATAATTAATTTAAAATAGCATGTTTATATTATGGCTTGGTAACCTATGTTCTGAGTATGAATTTTTGTAACACTTTTTTCACGCTATAGTGTAATTTAATTCTGGAGTGCACCCTCATAATTAAGTTTCTGAAGACAAAATATTGGGAGCAGATGCTGCAGACTGTGTTGGTTTACAGGATTAACTTCTCATAATCCCATCAAATTGAGATTCACACAGTGAGAGACTTAAAACTACAAATGAGATTACTGAGCTCAAAGTTATCACAGTAATTGGAGAAGTTTGAAAATCTTCACTCATTTAAAGTTAATGGTTGTACTGCCCTGTGTAATGATGAGGAGATACAAAGAGGTGCCTACTGTTTTACTTACTTCTATTGAATAATTTCTGATTTGTAATACCTTTCAGTTCTCTATATAATTCAGTGGCAATATACTTGGATTACACTTCTGCATATGAAGTCAGTGGCAAAGTTTAATATTCATTATCTCCAGTAATTCAGAATTAATCATTCTACTTACTGTTCAACATGACACTTGTTTGAAAACGTTTCATTTTAAGTGTTACTGATTGTTCTGTTATTTTTAACACTTCAACATCCATAATAGCTCATAACTTCTTCCTCTGTGTGCATGTGTGGTGTTTGTTCCAGATGGAAAATAATTTCTGAATCTCGTAAGTTTAGGCTTTTAAACTTTTGTTTTTTTCATTTAGCCTGTGTTTTTCCATTTTCCACTTCTTCCCTACATTTCCTTTGCACTTGCAGTGTTGGTTTTTTTTTTTTCCTTGGCTACTTTCTTACCTGCTCCTACTGACTTCTTGTGCTCAATCTGTGTATCGTTTCTTGCCTGCTTAAGGTTGACTACCTTCTGTCTACTGATTTTAGTGAACAGTGGGGCCTTTTGTGTTGAGGGCAGCATAACTTTACACAGGTGGGAGTTCAGTGGAAATAGTATGTATTTAGGGAGAAAATAAGAGATCATGTTGGTTTGAAATACCAAGCTTTACTTAAAATTCAGAACATGAAATATTTCAAGAGCTGGAAACAATATTGTTGATGTAAATGGAAGCAGGATTGGGCTTGGATTTCATATGTGTATACACATAAGCATTCTAATTTCATGGAAAATATCACCTTAATGTTCAAAACTTTATTTGCAGGAAATGTTATGCAGTGAAAGTAACACATTCTAAGAAAAAGACTTAATTACAAAGCTGTTGAATAAATGTGTGTTTTTCTTTCTAGGCTTCTTAATCATTCAGTTTCAGTAAGCACAAGGAACAGGCCAAAGCAGACAATGGAATCTGAAAAATGGTATTGATATACTTAAATGTATTTCAGCTTTCAATATTTTATTAATTTAATTTTGATATTTATTTTGTGCCAGTACTGCCATCTTCTGTCATAGTGGTTTTAGCTCAAAACGGAATAGAAGCTACACAAATAATCTGTTCTTGAGCCTCTTTCTTGCAGATAAAAATTAAAAATCTGTTCTTTTGAGCCTTTGGGAAAATTGATGGAATCCAGAAACTAATTTGTGGTTCTGATTATGGCAGCAATTCAGGTGCCTAAAGATAGGCATTCAGTAATGTTTTAGACATCTGTTCCAGTCCAGATCATCATGTCTCCCATAGGTAACAGTCCTGTGCAGATGTGTTAGACCCGGTGTTACATAAAGTGGCACTGCAGCTTGCTTAGGCATCTAAATTTTCCTCCCTCATGGTCCTCTGGTGCTCTTAAAAGCTGTTGGAAAAGTGTTGCTGGCATTTCAGCCTGCAAAATCTCTACTGTTTGTGGAGGATGTGTCAGTGAGGAATCCATTGTCCGCAGTAGCAGTATGCTTATGCTTTTTCTTTGAATTAAAATAAGCCCACCACAAATCAACAACAAACAAAAATAGCCAGCCTTGTCTTTAGGAAATTGAGAAATCACAGCTTCCCATTTTTTACTATGTGGTTAAGAGAGAACTTACCAAGTTTTCAGCCCTCCTTCTCTTAAGGAGTCCTCGATCTGTTCTTTTAATTGGTCAAGAAAGAATCTATTTTAATTTTTAAGCTAAAGAGGGAGAGCTTACTGGCAGCCTCCTAATGAGAACTCCATTTGAATGGTGGTTTTTGCGATTTTTGCCAGCATTTGGAACTCTCCAGTCCTTGGTTACTTAACATATGGTTCCTGTTCTTAGGGATGCTGTCACCTATTGTAGGTGCAGGCGTCTTAGGCCTTCGTATTGCAGGGTAATTCAGGAAAGGTTAAATTTACCCATCCATGTTCTGTGAATGAGACAGTTCTGATGCTTAAAACCAAACCAAAAAACCCCACCCGCCTAATTTTGAGGCATGCACACAGGATAAGGTAGATGTTGCAGGCTACTTGCTTTATTGCACTGATCTGAAGGAACCCAAATCACAGGCTGTGTAAGGAACATAGAGGGTAGAAAGACTCATATACCTAGGGAATTTACACTTACAGAATAGGCTATAGGTAATAAATACATATGTATCAACAGCAAATCTGATTTTTTTTTTTAATTGCAGCAGTTCCTGCAATTCTCAACTGGATTGCTTATCCAGCTATTTGACATGATTCAGACAAATTTCCTATGCCTAACAGCTTTTAAAAATAGCATTATTGGCTTGAGGCAAACAGAAAGAAAAGGGAAAGAAAGAGAATGCAAAGTAGCAGAAGCTAAGTCCCGAGTTGCTTTCCCTTTAGGATTTATTATAATTGCTTGTGGTGTTATGTCCTCCTTGCATTCAATCCCCAGCTGTTAGCCTTTTGGTACTCTGCACAGCTTCTAAGCCAGCTGTCTGAATGTGAATGAAGTAGCTGCTGGTAAAGTGATGGAAGTGAATTTTACAGAAAAATTTAGAAAGAAAAATTCAAAGTGACACCAAATCTAACCATTTTTATTTTCCTGAGAACTTTCAGTAATCTCGGGCAGTCCATGTTCCAGAGTTTATTTTTTGAGATTTTGCAGTTTCACTGTCCCATCTTAAAATGTTTTTCCATTCCCTGTTAGCATAAGCTTCTACTTTATAGTGTATAGCTAAGAGTGAAACGAAGCATGTGAGTCTTCCAAGCGTTTAAGAATGGATGTTTCATCAGCTTTAAACAAAATGTTTTGTGGGCTGCTTTGAGAAACAAAACAATGAAGGTGCATTAGGAATTCCTAAAGATCAACATGCTTAAGAAAAAATTTTATCTGAATAAAGCACTGTAGTGTGGAAGACCTATTGTCAGCATATGGTAAAGTAGAATGAGATGATCTGAGAGTTTAGTCAAATGGTCATACTTTTTAGCCACGTTGTGACATCCTCACACAGTTAGCCAAAAATAATAGATTAGTGCTGCAGAGAAGCTGCCTTTCAATAGCATTGATTTTTTGATGTTTTGAAGTACACAAAAACCAGTAAAATTCATAATGCCTCTCATCTTAATTTTTAGTGTCTCAACAGATGAAGTGAATTCCCCAGTGTCCCCATACAGCTGGCAGGTAAATATCCAAATGTAAATGTGATGGCTTCATATTTGAGTGATTTTTTTTTCCTTTTTTTGGTTTTGTATTTCTGACAGAAATGAATACACGCATAGTTACTGCATGTGTGATTGGTGGAAAATATAAAACCTTTGAGGAACTTATGCTTCAAGATTATTTGACTTCTGTGTAATGGAGGCCTTTTCTTTTAAGAGCATGTCAGACTAGCTTTAAGATCTTGAAACTAATGAGACATAAGTTTTACTTACTTGGTTTTAGTATTTTTTACATAAATTTCATTGCCTCATCATGTTCTTTTTTTTTTTAATTTCTAAATGGTTTGAATAATGTGGGCCTTCCATTCCCCATACCTCACTGAGAAGCTTGCATGACACAATAAAACTGCAGTGATACCGTAGAGAGTACATTTTATTATTTTAGATTTTAATCCATCAGGTTTTTACAATTGCTTTAAATGGGCTGATATTCTAATAGGAAGAAAGAGTTGGAAATGTAATTTTAGCCTTCTTATGGAATGCTCCTTTCAGATTGTCTGCTTTCAGTTTCCATAAAATAGATATATTCATACATATTCATTGTTATTTTAAGAACAAATCTACTTTAGCCGGCTCTTCTGAATGCATTCCATAATACAGTACTTTGAAAGATATTTCTTTTACAGCTAGTTTGTGTGTATAATTGTTTAGATAGGAACACCAGAGAAATACTTAAATTATTTGTCGTGCTGTAGCCATCCTCTTGCTGTGCAGTGAGTAGCAGACTTGAGAAATTAGATATGCTAATGGATAACTACACTTCTAACTTTTCTTTTGAAGTTATTTATGGCAGCCTTAGGTGGCTTCCTAACATATCTGCAAAAACTGGGCACAGTGCAGAAAAGGGTGGTATTTTCTTAAGAGTTATTTCATAGATTCTTTTTCTTCTGTGAAATATGTTAGAGAATTCAAAAGGAAATAAGTGATTTCTACCAGAATTACCCGTAAGACTGTTAACACTTCCATGTAGTAAAGCTAGATTATGAGAGGCAAATGACTCGTAATTTTAGTTTGTAATAACTTTTGTTAATGCACGTGAAGTACCTTTTACATAAAAATATTTCTGAACCTTAAAGCCACTGGAAAACCAGAAGGATTCAGTGGATGAGCAGCATTGGCCAGAAACACAGCCAGTGATTTGGCAGAATGAAGAAAGAAGGAGAAGTAAACAAATCAGGAAAGAGTATTTCAAGGTAATGGGGGGGAATGTGGGTGGGTGACACTTTTTTTTTTTTACTGATAGTAGGAGAAACTATCTAACTAGTAAAGGTAAGAAAATCTCAAAGGTTGTCATGCTTTTACTTTTCCATGTAACCTGTAGTTTTTTATTTGGCTCTTTTGAGTTAAATATATATGGATCTATAGGGTAATGTGAGAGTGTAGGAAAAGCCGGAGGAAAAAAATATACTGAAGATTTTGCTTATCCTTTATTTAAAGTAAATTACAGTTGTCTTCTGGTAATGCCAGAAACTAATCTTCAGTCATTGGTCCTTCCCCATCTATTTTAAGTGTAGGTAGTGAAAATATGCATTACCTTTTTGTGAAGCATGGTGATAATACTGCTTTATGCATTTTGGTTCTCACTGCATTAGTTTGCAATTTAGAGAGGAAGTTTTCTATTGCTTTGCTGCTGTAGTGTGTACCATTGCTCACCAGGTGTCAGTGTCTGCACATTGCAAAACAGATCAAAGTTAGAGCAGCATTAGGTACAACTTGTTTTGGGGTATGGAAGAGAAACGAGGATTCTGACCAGTGCTAGATGGAGTTAAAATTAAATTTATCACTGAAGAAATTAGTTTCTTGCATCTTTTGCCATCAGACATCTTTATGAAATGCTAGGGGACTTAAATGAGAAGCAGAGGAACCCATACAGCTCAGATACATTGTTGTGATATTTTAAAATATTTTAAATATCACAATATTAAAAAGCTATTAAATCTTTTTATTCCTGAAGAGTATATGGAGTTGTATCCTAACCTTAATTCTACAGATTTCTTTCCAGGGTTTTTGTCCCTTAATTAATTTTGCCTTGAAGCCTTTGAGGCAAAGGGGAGAAACTTCGAAGTAAACCAGAATTCAGTCATTAAACAGCTGTGCTACCGTACAGAAAACCTGCACTAGTGATTCATCATAACTTTAAAGGATGTCTTCAGATGCTAATACAGTTTGCAGTTTTGAGCTTTGTGATGAAAACAGATACCTGAAATCACATTTCATACAGCTACGGACATCTCAGAAGTGAATTAAGCAGGCTGTACCAGTAAGAGAAAGTATGGTATTGCTCATAATTTCATTTGCAAAACCAAGTGAAATGAAGTCTGTCTTCCATGGCGAACTGGGAAAAGCAATGCACGTACCACTGCTGTTTTGAGAAACCAGTGAAAATATGATTCATATTATATCCATGTTTTCTTGTCAAAAAAAGCTCATTGAATAATCTTACCTGATTAAGATGCATTAGTATCTTAAGAATACATGCCAAATTACTGCAGTGGGTGTCATTAGAACAGGGAAAACTTACTTGGATCAGCATCCAGAAATATTTCTAGAGCATCTTTCTTATTCATATTATGTATTTTTATTGTGCAGTTGGACTGTCCAGCAGAAGAGTAGGAAAATGCCTGTGAGAATTGGAACTCCTTTTCTTGTGGCATTCCACTAAAGTCTTGCTGGAACCTGAAATCTTTGTGTTATTAAATATGTAAAAAGAATCTTACCATTGAAGATAATTTTATCAACTAAAAGGCTGGGTTTTTTTTTCCCTTGGAATAGTTTGTAGTTGTTGTGGATCCTAGCTACACCCAAACTGAAATTCTTGTTAGTGTATTCACAGGGGAAAAGAACTGCAATGTGCTAGCTTTGGTATGGTTTAATTATGTTGGAAAAACATGAACACAACTGGCCCGAAGGCCTGGATAAACAGAATTCAGCAGCACAGGTCTGTAGGGCATAGAAAATTAGGCTTTGCCTTGTCAGCTGCCAAAGTAATGTATTCCCTTGTACTGCAAACATACAGGAGATAAATCCCTGTAGAGAAATATCCAATCATGGATCTATATCATGGGTCTCTACCTGACCCCAGAACTCCTTGTAATCTACCACACGCACACACACAAACCCAACAACCAAATAAACAAAACCACCACAAAATCAAAACAAAGAAAAATATCCGCAACACCCCACCATGAAATGCCTCAAAACAAACAAAACCACCAAGAAATTCCCCAAACAACAAAAGAATCCCACAAACCAACTAGTGACACTTTATTCACTCTTCAAAAGACACAATTTGCACAGATAATGAAGGCATTAGGATAGCTGACAAAGGCTGTGTTTGTCCTAGACTTGGATTTTTTGAGAGATGCTGTTCACTGTTGTTCAGCATGTTCAAAATCTGTTGAAAATGCAACTCTACAAAGCTGTTCCATTTTACAGTCCAACAGCGCTCAGTTATAACTTTGAAGAAGACAGCCTCTTCTGTGTGTAATTAATAAATACAACTTACATAACACAGCTACAAAAGTTTTGTGCTTGTTAATGTTGAAGAATGTAGTTGTAAGTCAGGTTGTTCTTTCTTTTTAATAAATACTTCTAACAAAAACCTGTATGTACCATTAAATTCAGGTCTTTGAAGGAGAGCCATGCTTCCAGCTGCAAAGTTTAGTCTTAATTTAGCCTATATTAGGTGTTATAGCATAAAGATGGGTAGGCCGGCCACATGCACACATTGCACTGAACAGGGGTTTTGTAGTGATGGATCTTTTTAATTCTCATTGCTTGGTTTTTTCGTGATTTTTTTTGTGCACTTGCTCTGCAGACAATGCAATCCACTTATTTTTCTTGCATACTGTTTTTGTAACCTTTAACCCTTCCTTCATTTCCTATACTTTAAGGATAATCAGGAAGTAAGACAGTGATTAAGGTGGTGTGCAACAAATCAGACTGATCTGTGGAAAAAGTGCTGGTCTTAGATAGAAGGGTGTGATCCGGCTTTGGTGTTGTAAAGGAAATGTGGATTTTTATTATTTTTTAATTGAATTATTTACAATGTGAAGTCAGTCTCTCAAGGTGGGTGTAAGCAATCTTAGTTACCTAACAAAACAAATTGTAAAATTAACTTTTACAGGTTGCATCATTTTTTTAATAACAAATAATACTTCAGAGTAGCAGTTGTCCAGATCTTTTTACTTGGTTCATCTGTTGTAGGCCGTCAGAGTTCATATTACAAAAATATTTACTTTTAAAATGCTCTTATCCTCCCACCATCATAACGAAGATCTTGACTAGTCTAGGAACTGGATGTTCCTTTTCTGTTTTGTTTCTTTTCTGCTCCTTTGATTCTGTAACATGCTTTTTTTTCTCAGCAGCTTCACCAGTAATAAGTAACATCTGAGTGATATCAAGCCTTTTAATTCAAATGAAAACCATACTTCCGTTTTAAAGTAATAATTGTGTGTGTTTTGCAGTATAAGTCTTCCAGAAAGAGTTCAAGTGGAAATGAAAATGATGAGGTGAGAAACAGTAATTGTGTAAAATATTTAAGAAAACATTTTATTCAATGGTCTTGTATAACACTTGTGAGCCACAGTCATGGAACAAGAGAATGTTGGGTAGAGTCCATGCAAACAAACTTTACATTGCAAAGCCATAGCAGAAATAACTATTATACTCCTCTATTTGAAAAAAGTCCTCAAGATTGTGTACTGGGAAAAGTAGGACATTTACTTGCTACAGTAATAGGAAAGGTAATTCACCTATCGAGCAGAGGGAATGTAAAAGTAATATTCAACACGAACAGTGTTTCCTGGACGTACATGTTTTGAAATTTAGTTTCTGCCAGTTTGTTTTGTGCTGACAAATGTTGCATTTCATGTGTTGTGTATTTCATAATTTCATGTTTCTTGTTAAATCATAATTTCCATTTTTATAATTTCATCTCTTTGATTTCTTTTTAGCAAGACAGTGATAATACTAATGTGTCCCCACAGTCTCCCGTGTCGTCTGAGGTACAAGTTCGTGGCTTTGTTTTTCATTCAGCAAACATTTCTCTGTGCACATCACTTGTCCCCAGGTTTTCCATCCAGATACAAAGCTCTTAGTTTCCTTTGAAAGTGCAATTAGAAATACTTCATCATAAGAAAAAATTGGAAACCAGAGGCAGATACTACATCTTGGTTTACCTTTGCAACTATCTGATCTCTCGTAGTTTGTCATCGTTTTGACTGGTGTGTAGAAAGGTGCATTGCTTTGTCTCCATTATCCTTCCTAATGAAAATAGCTAATAAAACAAAAATCAGATTTGCCATATTTTGTAGGTCGTCCCTACGCACTAGCCTATCCAGAGGATTTTAAGTAATACTTGTGATTTAGTACTTTATCTATAATCACAGGGAACCCCAAGGTATTGATACTTCTTAGAGTTTCATCCTTTACAGTTCTGGTTGTTGCCTTTGATGCAGCCTTGCAGCTTCACTCGCTGGCTGCTTTCCTTTTTAAGGAATGTCCCTGTAGCCTCACTCTGGCTGCACTACACTACTGAGCTCTGAACAAAGCATGCCAGAGATTATGAACATTGCCACCTCTTGTCAATAAGGAAACTGAGGGAGCGGAATGAGAACATCTCCCTAATACAGTGAAATGAGTTGGACTAAGGATATGTCATGTACATATCAATTACTGAGCACATTCTATCTTTAGATAGTGAAATAAGAAAAACCTGATCTTCATAATTGAAAGTAAACATTTCTTAAGAAATATTTTGATGCTAAGTGTTGGGAGGAAATTTGTATTTGCTTGCAGGTGGCTTAGAACTCTGACAGAATGGTTTGCAGTCGTTTGAAATGGTTTAGAGTAGATTTTAGTTAATCTGGTGCTGCTTTTCTTCCTCAGGCAGATAAAATTATCTGCTGTAGTGAGGGTACTTTCATTACATTTATTTTTATACTGTCCCCTTCAAAAGAGTGTTTTACAGTTGAGCATAAGGACTTGGGTTTTTTTTAGGCAAGAATAAACATTATCTTGATGGGAACAAGACAGTTCTTCTAATGAATGGAAGAAAATTGACTTTATCTCTTTCAACAGGATTATGAAAGGACAGATAGTAACACTCATGGTCCATTTGGTCTCAAACCAAGGTCAGGTAAGCTGCTGTTCTCTAACATAGCATGATAGAACAGATGTTTATTCCCCGGGCTGGAATAGACGGTAAGGATGGCAGATGCATGAGCTACAATGAATATGAAGAGATGCCACAGTACAGCAATCCACTTAGTGTACTTAGAAGAAGAAGAGTTCTGGGAAAGACAGAGACAGCTGCTTTGGCAAATGAATAATTGAAAGTTCCCCAAGTTGCACAGGGAATTTTTTTTTTTTTGTTTCCTCCCCCTAATGATTAATTTTGTGTGTATTTAGTCACTGTCAGAACAAGGAAACAGCATGCAATTACTCTTGGGATCTGATGGCTGAGGCAGGAGGGTTTCAAGAGAAGTAGGTTTTTGTAATTTGTCCTATGAAAGGGCCCTTTTAGCAGAGCTTTGCTGGGAGTTTTATGGCTTAGTGCTTTGTTGCACCCTGATTCTTCCAAGACTGCCATACCCTCCGAAGAAAGTTGTATTGTCTAAAGACTTTCAGTTCTCTAAAATCTAGGTAAAAATAATACTCTTTTTTTTGCAGTTGCAGTATTCTTTTATTTGCAGATGTCTATGTGAATATTGGATCTCAGCAATGTAAAACATAGTTTGGAAAAGCCACTGTGCAGTCCTTTTCCCAGTTAATACCACTCTTCTCTGTTTTTAAGGCAACAGTCTTCATGCAAATTCATTAAGAAAGAATGATGTCAGCTCTTCAGTTTAATTTCATTCAGTGTTTATGGTATCAAAGCTTGACCTTCTTTATATTAGCCTGTGAGCCCTCAGTAGTAATAGCTGGCTGAGCTCATGCAAGTGGCTTCTTCAGGGCCCTTAAGGCCCTTGAGATGTGTAAGCAGTTGCGTGAAACGTCGGTGCCAGAGAAGGGTTGGCTGCATGTACCCGGACATGCCTGGCTGTGATCACTTAGTCTCCGAGTTATCTACATCTTTGGCTGCAGGAAGGTCCAGATTCGTAGGAAGCAGGCTTGTTAGGACTTCTCAGCCCATCTTTTCTCAGTGCAGCAGTAGGCTTCTTGGGAGCCACTGCCAGCTCATGTCTGTAAGACAGCAGCGACCCTTTCATTCAGTTCTAGGAAAGCAAATGGCATTTGGTTTCTTAGCTACAAGGCAAAATCTTTGTGGGTTTAGATGCTTCCATAGATACTGTTGGTAACATGCAGTTGTATTATTCTATATTCAGACTACATACTCTCAGTGTATAAAATCAGAACTAATTTCAATGGTACTATAAACTTAAGTTATTATAGATTATTAGATTTCTTGTTAAAACCAAACTATTAGAAATTATAGAAAGTTCTAAAGGTGTAAGTAATTTTTTTTTCTCAAAAGCATGGGGTAAAATACTTAAGGATACAGTGGTATTGCTACAGAAGGGTTGTTATTTGCCAGTGTTCTATGAAATACTAACTATTCACTCGAAGGCTTTCTGACCATGAAGAGGTAAATGAATGTAATTATTTAACCTTTTTGAAGAACTCCTCTGAACTTTTAGATGAGACACTTCATATTTTCTGTCAGTTCTTTAATAAGCAATCGCTGCATATGCACACCTAAAGCATGAGCATATTTGTGTGTGCATATATATTTGAAATATTTCATTGTAAGTTATATCGGGGAGTTCTGTCCCTTTTTTAACCTCCTTAAAGACTTTTATACTCAAGTAAAAGTAAAAAACTATGAAAATACTTTCAAAGCTTGATTGCCAGATAGGCTTGGAAAAATGCAGATGGAGTGTGTTTCTCCAAGGAATATTTGAATATTGAAGTCGATTCTGTCTCCATATTTTCTGGTTATTCATTTGCACTGAAGAAAGTTGTCTGTTTTATTTGAAAGATAAGTTTCAAAGTATGGTTTCAAAGATAAGTTTCATTTCTTAAGTTTCATCTTTTACACTGGGATACAAATATATTTGTTCTGAAAAGTTCTACAGCTTTTTTCACATTTTTATCTTTGGTGGTAGATTTGTAGTCATTGCACTTTTTTAAAACCCGAAGTCTGAAAACTAACTTCACTGATGTCTAATAGCTTTCAGCCGTGCATCTCGCCAGGACTATGGGGCAGTGGATCCTGGATTTACAATGAGGAGGAAGATGGAGCATTTAAGGGAAGAAAGGGAACAGATAAGACAGCTTCGCAATGTATGTACCATTATTTACTCTATGGGTGCAGTACATTTAGTTTCCTCTGTACCGCAGTTTAAACCTTTACAGTAAATGCCTTCAGATCGTTACAGTTGTACAAGGGCATCTCTGGAGTGGTATTTCTTCCTGAGGAGTTTCATGTAACAGACTACAGTGGTGCTGATTTTGGTCCAGTCAAAATACCAACCAAAAACTAAATGGTTTTTTAGCTGAAAAATGAAGTGAAATGAAAAATGAAATTAGTTCTTTTTCAAGTTTCCAAGGTTTCAGCCCCTCCTAGGGAGACAATAAGTCTGCTTGTGTTTGCTGTTATTTGACCTGAGATTTTGGGAAAGATGATCATAGTGTTCTGAATAGCCAAATTCTTTTTGAGTATATAAAGTTGCTACAAGCTATACGGTACAGAATGGGGTCTAAATTTCAGACTTCCAGTAAGTTCTGTTCTTAAGATATTTAACAGTTACAGTTAACTGTAAATTTAGCAGCTCTGCTTCCCAGGGCAGTACTGATGTAGGGTGAAGGCTGTTTCTGTCTTGTCTGGTTCACTTCCTGAGCAGTGAAGGCTTCTCACTGGGGTGGGAAAAAACATTCCATGCTTCCTGTCTCTGTTTTGCAAGCCAAGTGTGGGCAAGTCTTGGCCACCCTTTCCTCAGACATTTAGCTGTTACCTTCATGAGTGACATAGGCATGCCCCAAGTGGTTGTGTTCCCCTCTTTTTTTTTTTTTCCCCCTCCTTCTCCTAGTAAAATTGTGTACATTTTCAACACACAGTTTCTGCACGCTGACAGCTAATGAGGTATTCAGCTTAACATTTCTGTCCTTAAATTCTGTGCTTTCCTTTTATGACTGGTGAGTTCATTGTGTGGCTTTGAGAGCTATGTATCATGGTAGGCGTTGACTGAATGTCTTTCTCCATGTATGTAGCTGTTCCATGAGAAAAAAGCAAAGGGAATATAAGGTTAGTGATAGAGAAAAGGATGTTTGTGCTCAGTAAAGTGAGTTAATTCAATTTATTTCACTTCAATGCTAAAATGTCCCTTTTTAAACTGAATGCTTTTAAATACCTTGAATTTAAGATCATAATGGCAAATACTGAAAGTAACTTACTTCTGGACTTCTTAATAGAATCTTGAATCAAGGTTAAAAGTAATTTTGCCAGACGACATTGGAGCAGCGTTGATGGATGGAGTAGTTCTTTGCCATTTAGCCAATCACATAAGGCCGCGTTCTGTTGCCAGCATTCATGTACCATCGCCAGCAGTGGTAAGTCATTTATCTCTTTTTTTTTTTATCTTACAAGCTTTTGAAGTTCAGTACTAAAACACTGTGAATCATGTTTACCGTATTAATTGGCTACATTCCTCACGTCAATTTTTCTGCAAGAAGCATTAAACATGACTCAAGTTTAGATTAAGAGCTATTGTCATATACTGAGTCCCATAGAATTTCTTTTGTGTTTTAGCAACTGTTACTGAATTTGCATCAGAAATATACAGTCCTTCATGAGTGTATGATGACAATCTAATGTTCTCTGTTTACAGCCTAAACTCAGTATGGCAAAGTGCCGAAGAAACGTTGAAAACTTTCTTGATGCTTGTAAAAAACTGGGCGTTCCACAGGTATACTAACTGCTTTATTGGCTTCTTTATGAATAACCACAGAAAATGTCAGCAAATACTGAAGTGAGGGGTGGTGGGTTGTGTGTGGTTTTTTTTTTTTTGGAAGCTTGATTCAGGGAGCAGTAGAGATTATAACACTGTCTCCCTCGACCCTTTTTAGCGGAATATGAAAATTTGCTTGTGGATTTAATAGGCTGGGTTACTGCTCTGCCACAGCTTCAGTGTAGTGTGGAGCTACAGGCCATTCAGAACTTGGAGATGCTGAGATGTGCCTCCTGAATTACATGTAACACCAGCTAGCATTTGGGAAAATTGTGTTGGATTTTGAAACCGAAAGATGACTTCCCTGGGAAATAATGGCTCATTGCTGAGGACCCTGTCTGTCAGCACTTCCAAGTTTTCGCCAGGGAAAAGTTGATAATAAACTTACAGAAGAAGGGAAGGGGGAAGTAGACCACTGAGCCAACAGTGCCCTTCAGCCTGTTTTTCTTGCTCTGCTTATGAAAAGAAACAAAGTCTTTGGCTTTATGAAATTAGTAATCTTTTATGTATCTTCACACGTTGTCATCGTTTAACACTTTAAAAAGTTCTTAGATATCATTAATTTCTGACCATTCTTGTACTGTAGAGAACTATGTGTGAAATTTAAGGCCAAAGATATTTGCTATGCAGGTGTCTTACAGTGATGTGTGTGTGACTTCAGAGAGAAGGTGTTTGTTACCTGCCTTGTTGAAGAAACCGATGAAGCCTGATACACGTATGGCTTTATTTTGCAGGAGAGACTTTGCTTGCCTCATCACATTCTGGAGGAAAGGGGTCTGGTGAAGGTTGGCCTCACAGTTCAAGCTCTGCTTGAATTGCCAGCATTGAAAGTGTCTCAGCTTTCCTCCATGTGACATGACTTCTTGGAAGCTAGACAACTTACCACTCGAGCTGTTGATTTGGATTGCTCTGAGGCAGTTCAGCATCCTACACGGGAACATCCAAGCCATCAAAACCTAGTATCTGTCCAGATGCTGTAGAGAGCCTTACTTCGGAGTTGTACGTGAAAACCTTGGAGTCAGCTGACAGTTAAAAGAACATAATTATTCTGTCTTTTCTTTTGTAATTGGATGCACAAAGAGATTGTTGTAGCATCAGGTTCTCTTTCCAGCTAATTTACCTTAAAAACTGCCATTTAACATCTCAGCGTTACTGTTAAATGCTGGATTTCTTTTCCTACATTGTTTTAATTTTACAAGTACAAAGCACGCCCCTCCCCTCACTTTAATCTTTCAGTCATTTGATTTAAAGGTAAGACAAAGACGTAGTGGTGGTATGATGGTAAAAACGCGAGTGACTGATCACTTGTACTCCACTTTCACTCTCTCAGAAAGCTTGATATTTGCATTCTTTATTATTTGCACTCCTGATTGTAACTCACACTTCTAACATTGCCAGTATTTAGTCTGAGTGTATGGTGATTACACAAAGCAGTATATGATGGGAAAAGGACACGTTTTATTGAGTTTTTTTCCAGTCTTCTAGGTTGGTGCCAAATATTTTTTTTCAGTTGTACTGTAGATTGTTTACATGTGAAGTGCCTGTGTAATTGATAACTCTTAATAGTCTTAAACATTTTTGAAATTTCTTTGTTTAAAATAGATAAAATGGAAATTTTTAAATATTTTAATAGTTTTTTGTAAAATCAGTACGTGAAGAATTAAGTAATACTTCACATTTTTGATGTTGGGTGTTTTAAGTTTGTTGCACAATTTAATTGGTTATTTTGTTGTCTAATAATTAGAAAATACTGTAAATACTTCTTATTTATGATATTTAATTTGATAATACCTAATCACTTTTCATTTAATGTATTGTTAGACAAAAAAAAAGTTGTCTACTTTTCTTTGTTTGGGACAAACAAATATACACGGTGAGTAAGACATGAGGACTAGTGATGCATACAGAATAATTTAGGACATTTTGATAAAACTGCCAAAATCTCAGGTTTACGCTGTAACTTTCAGGATTTTGTGTATTACTGCTCCTGATCTTGCGTTACATTTTTACAACAGGTATATCCATAATTCAGTTGAGAACTTTCAGTGTTTTAGTGTTTATGGGATTTATTGTGTAATTTATGCAGGTGCGGCATAGCACACAAATCCCTTTGTACAAATGTCACTGTGGTAAGACATTAGACTTTTCTGGATAAATGTGAAAAAGAAAAATTGCCACTCTGGTGGTTTTTAGAAACTTCTGAATTTATGTATTTGTTTGCTTCTGCACAAATTCTCAGTGTTTTGAGAACAGTCTGAAACCATAACGCAGTTGAGTTTTTCTCCAAACAAGTTGCACATAATTTCATATTCCTAGTAATAAATCTGTTTGCATTAGTTAGTTCTTCATGAATAGGTAGCTCAGTTAAAAAAAAAGTGCTGACTGTCACAGATTTTTGTGTTTCAGGCTAAGTTAATTTTGATTGAGGGATATGTTTGCCAAGCACGTAACAAGATTTGATTCTGTTCTTTCCATTTGAACTCCTTACTTCATTTACTATAGTCCTTAAAATCAGTAGCCAAGAGGAAAAATAACCTTTTTCTGATGACAGGATATTTTTTAAAGATACATTATTTTTAGATCCATTGAAGCAAGCTGATTCATATGTAATAGTTAAAACCCACTATTCTTTATATAGTGTTTTCTTAAAATACAGCTCTTGGAGAGGCAGGTGTAAAACTCCATTTGCAACGCCCTAGCTATAAATCTTAGGTTATGTAAATACTCGTTTAAGGAAACAGGATTGCTTTGACCTTTGAAATACAGTGTTCCAAATCTCTCTAACTGTATTTTAAATCATTCACACAATAGTAATTTTAACAAATTCAGTCTCTATTTTTCATTATAGGCAGTATCAGAAAAGTCATGCTAAGAATAAAATGAAAAAGTAATAGGATTAATTAAGCATGATGCTTGTTGTCTGCTACATTTGAAGAACACAAGCATTCAAAAGAATAATTTGTTGTCTTTCAATTCCTTGCTATGGTATTTGACAAAAACAAAGTTCTGTTTCACTGTGTTAGAAATAACTGAAAGTGATAGAATTCCTAATTGTAAATTATCTGGTTTAAACTGATCTCCACTACTGTTGTCTTATTAAATGTCATCTGAACTTAAAGTAATTTTTTTCCTTCTAGAACTGAATTTATGAAGTTATATCACAGTGTAAACATTAAGAATTCCCTTGATGTAACATGCCAGATGCTTAGCAGCTTTTTTTTTTTTAGGCTTATCTTATTTCTAAGTAACTTGACGACTGAAGTTAATGTACTTATTTTAAACTGTATCCCCAAAGTTGAAAACTGCTAAGTAACTTTTTTTTTTTCAGTACTCTGGAGTTCTTCCCCACAAACTTCCTAGAAACAGTCTTGCTTTTCTATTCTTTGGAAATTATTATGGCCTTCTTCATGCTTATGGGGAAGGATAATCATGATCCTTCCAGGGCTTCCTTTTTAGCATTGCAAAGATTAAAGCTGTCAAGTATCCTTAGGAGCAGTTTGAGAAAAGCTCCACTGTGCCTGAATGGATTTTTTCTCATCTTTAGCTGCTTTTACAAATAATAATAATCTAAAGCCTTGCTAAAATTGTCTGTTCCCACTGTGATTTTTTTTGTTTAGGAGCAAATGCAAAAAAGATGGTAAAAATACTTAGAATTTTACATTTTAATTTTAAAGCAGTCTGTGGGGTTTGTTCCTGTCTGCCCATACAAAAATTTGCTTACTATCCCCTTTTCTCCCTTTCCATTTGATTCCCAGATCTTCTTTGTTTGTTCACAGCTCTAGTGACTTCACATTGTTCATTACTGCCTGCCTTCCTTCCTATTTCATGGGTTTTTTTTAAGAAATTGCTTCAGTGGCATTGGTGGATACTGGGATTGCAGCATCCCTGTTCCCAACACTTAATATGTTTGAGATTTTCCTGTTTTGTTTAGGATGCAATGTCATTACTTAATACTTGGTACAGCTGATAGGATGGTTAAAAACAGGGGCTGGCCCAGTTGCTAATGTAGTCGCACAGTTTTTACTTTGGATGTGAAGAAAAGTCGACGTTAAAATCTTTAGGAAACGACATTACATTTTCCTAATAAATTTAAGAGTTACTTGGGGCGTTTTGTGAATGCTATACAAAGTTACTGCGATAGTGTGGTATGAACTCTAAATTAGAGTAAATCAACATACTGACAGGGCTTCTGACCTTGTGTATCTTTTGGTTTTTATGTCAGTGGATGTAGTATGTCACACATGAATGGTCTTTCATTAAGCAATAATGTGCCAGATATTAAGATCTTAAAGCAGTGGCATTAAACTAATTGTTGTAAAGTGTGGTGACTTCCCACCCAGCATCTCAGAAATGCTTCACATCCATTCCGTGACACTGCCCATCCAGCGTGCTGGCTGGGGCACTGCTGGGGGTGCAGAAGACTGACTATCGCCGTGTATCTGGGGGCCTCCCCAGGTGTAACAGAGAGCTAATACTATCATAAAATATGGAGGAATACTTTTGAAACAATAACTATGAGATGAATTGTAAGAGTTTCGGTGTATATCCTAGCTTCACTCCAGTCAATGTAAGTTTTGTCCTTGACTTCAGTGAAACTTTCCCCCTTTTTGGTTTGTGGAACATCTGCACTGAAGAACTGGAGACCATGGCAAACATGGCTTTAAATTGACACTGGCAAAGCTTTAGTGTCAAATTCTTGACTAAAAGTAGTGATCTCTGGTAAGTGTAAGGAAGCTGTAAATTGCACTGTTTCGTTTATTTAGTACGAATTTTCTGATATGCCATATACAGTATTAAGACAGTAGGAAAAATAACTTAGAAGCACAGCTTCTGTACCACAGGAAGGTGTCACCTCCCCTGATGGTAGTCCTCACCTGCAGTCTTACTATTTACTGCCCGAAAAACTTTATTTCAGATGTCTTTATCGGCAGTCTCCTCAGATTTTGACATAAATCTGTAGCCAAATTCAAACAAAAAATGAAAAGGCATCTGGTTTCACTAAAACCAAATTTCCCCATCGTTCTCCTGTTGAAGAGAAGGACAGAGGTCTGGCACTTCATCCTTCGGCTGATTTAGAAGGCGGTATGAAAGGGAGCTGGTGTATCTCGTACGGCCGTGGGCCGCCTGTTCGCCTGGGAGTCGGTCTCTATACCAGTGCAGAGAGAAAGCACGTTCATAATTCAGCTGGTTTCAACCAAAAGCAACTTGTGGGAGTTTTTAGCACTTGCTGCAGACAGGAGATGATTTTGTATTGGTAAATCCAATTCGTCTTTTTCCTCAGTAAGGCAAAACTTGCATCTTTGGAGAGGTGCATCATCTTAAACAATGACCTGTGCTTGAGCAGTGAAAGCGAGTAAACAGAGCAGCGCCCTGACACGCACAAAGCTGGGGAAATATTTGGTGTTTACATATGACTGTTAGGAATTGTTCTTAAAAAAAAAAAAATGCCATTAAGACCAGGAATGGTTGTCCAAGGAGAGGGTGCTGCAAGTTGATTTCACACCGAATCCCTTTCACAATGAAAAGCATTTAGGTTTAGTAAGGCAAGGAATAGAGATTTTGTAATGCCTTCACGCCGAGGGAGGTGGATCCTTATTTACGTGGAGCTTTCTGCAGAGATTAAAATAGCAAGAAATTCGGCATCTGTGATTTCCCAAAGACTGTATATTTTGGATAGCTCTGTCCTAGGGCTGCAGAAAGCATCGCTGAGCGTGCAGGGAGCGTTGCCCGTTCTGGACCCTGGGTGGGGTACCTCACGGGGGCTGTTGCGCTGCGCTCGGGCTCGGTGACCCCGAGACTGGCCTCCGTGGTGTGGCTTCTGTAGGAGATGCCTCTTGGCTTCGTGCTGCTGCCGCCTCCGCCTCAGGCTGCAGAATTCTTTTAAACAGAGGTTTGCAGTCTGAATCCAAACACTAAGGAAAGCGATAACTTCACTTGAGGGTAATAGATAAGTAGATGTTTACCAGTATTAACCTTCCACCGGCAAAGAATGACGCAGTGGGACAGGAAACTTGCTGTAGGAATTGCACCGTGGTCCTTAACCGGCTGCCGTGTCACTTGGCCTCTGACGTGAGAGAATCTGTACGCAACACCCTGGGATACACACATTTCATTTACAGCTGGAGGGAAAGGCAAACTGTATTATAATCAGGAGTTTTATGGCACAGATTTTTTTTGGTAAAAT